AAAAAAAAGAAAAACTAATGACATGGCACAGAACAGAGGATAGAGAAACAATCCCAGGCACATCCAGCTATCTGATCTTTGACAAAAAGGCCAAAAACATACACACCAGTGAAAAGATAGCCTCTGTAATAAATGGTGCAAGAAAAACTGGCTATCCTCATGCAAAAGATTGAGTCTCAACATCACTAAACCACAGTCAAAATGGATCAAAGATCTAAATGTTAAAACAGAAACAATCTGCTGGAAGATAAAATAGATAAAACATATGACCAGCAATCACATTCCTTGGTATACATCCAAATTAACTGAAACACAAAAATCCACAGAATCCATATAAAATCCTACACACATATTTACAGCTGCTTAATTCATAAAAGCAAAAACTTCATATCAACCCAAACGTCCTTCGGCAGGTGAATGGATAAACAAACTGGTACATCCATACTGTGGGTATTATTCAGCAGGAGGATTACGATGTCAAACCCAGCCTGGACAATTTACCAACTTGGTGAGACCCTGTCTCAAAAAATTAAAAAGGGGCTGAGGATGGAGTTCATTCAGTGTAAAGACCTGGCCTCAATCTCTAGTTCGGCAGGGGAAAAAAAAAATAATAGGGCCGGGGATTTAGCTCAGTGGTTTCGCCCCCTGCTGCGCAAGAGCAAGGACCCGAGTTCGATCCCCAGTACCAAAAAAAACCCCAAAAAAACCCTAATATAAACTAAGGATTCTGAGTGCTGATGATGCATCATAGGCCTCACTCTGCTGGGAGATGGGGGAGGTTATACATGTTGGGGAAAAGCAGGGGATGTACAGGAACTCTGTACTTCTGCTCAGTTTTGCTATGAACCTAAAACTGCTCTAAAAAATACCTGAAATGAATTAGGCATGATAGCGTCTGCCTGTAATTCCAGCACTCAGGTACAGTGAGGCAGGAGGATACCAAGTTCAAGGTTGACCTGGACTACATGGTGAGAGCCTGTCTCCAAAAAAAAAAAAAAGAGCCAACAACAAAAAGAACCAATACACACACAAAAAGAAAACCACTACAAAAATAAAATATATTAATTTTTCTTAAAAAGTAGAGGGTATGCTTAGCTGTGTAAGGCCCTGAGTGCAATCCCCAGTACCAAAAAAGAAAGAAAATTAAGGAAGTCAGTCATCCAAGTAACTAAATTTTTCACAGTAAATAAAACAGTGCTGAACTTTTATCTCGAAAAATAAAACTAAAAATTACTTCTGTTCATTTATGCGACAAAATGTAGGGTATAGATTCAACTATGTACTTAAAATGAAAAGTAAATTGAGTAGGGAATTTTGGCATAATTTTCCCCAAAATTTTATGATGGCATCATAAGACACAATTCACTTCCTGTTTGTGATTTACTGTTTCATTTTGGAAAAATATCTGAGGACTTCATAAGACTCCGCAAGGTGCTATCTTTTGATATGTAGAAATGATTTTATTTCACAGAGCCCATGGTACCACCCTATTCACGGTTTGTCCGTGAGATACAATGCAGCAACAGATGTGTGAAACTTTTTAAAGTCTTTTTATTAAACTTTATGAAATATTGCATCAACTTCATTTCACTTCCCGACTGATTGGGGGGGTTGTTTTTGTTTTGTTTTTTGTGGTTCTACGGAGTGAACTCAGGGCCTTCACATTGAACTACATATCCAGCACTTTTTTTAATGTAATATTTTACAACTCAGTCTTGCTAATAATTAATAAGCTCCCCAGGCTGTACTCAAACTTTCAGTCCTCCTGCCTCAACCGCCCAGAGTCCTGGGATTACAGGTATACCTCACCAACGCCAGGCTCTATGACTTTTATCAATCAGCAATGAGAATGATAACAAACTTTTGATGTGACAGACAAGGAGAGGGGTCAGCGGTATAGCTCAGTAGCAGCACCCTTGCCTAGAAGGCATGAGGTACCGAGTTCAATCCCCAGCACCACAAATAAGAAAACAAACCCACCCCCCAAAAAAGAAGCCCAAATATATAGGGAGAGAAATTAGTATTGTGATGTCTGGGCATGGACAACCCTTTAGTCCCAAATGGGACTAAAGATGATCATTTGTACAAACAGAGTAACAGGGTGGGCCAGAAGAGTCTTCTAGTGCTGGAGATAAAAAGATGAACATGAAATAACCTCTAGGAATTCAACCCATATGAAAGGGCTGGGGATTTAGCTCAGTGGTTCCACCGCCCACCTTGCAAGCACAAGGTCCCAAGTTCAATCCCCAGTACCAAAAAAACAAAAACAAACACCTAACATGAGAGTGGAATGAATAAGCACACACACAAACACATTAAGTGCTGTGATGTCAAGGCTCGGATGTAGGAAGTGGTAGGGAGAAAATACAGATGGGAAAAAATTTCATTCTATCTCAGCCAGGTATAGTGGCACATGCCTATAATCCCAGCACCCTGGGAAGCTGAGACAGGAAGACAGCAAGTGTGAACTCAAACCAGAAAACTTAGGTGAGACCCTCTCTCAAAAGTAAAGAACAAACAAAAGAACTGCGGATCCAGTTTTGTGGGAAAGTCCTGGGTCCAATCCACACATACAAAAAAATTCTGGTTCTGAGTTAGGGCTTGAAGAATTCTGAAAGCAGACACCAGGGGAAAGGCTGCCAAGCAGAGGGTAGGCACAAGGAAAGGCCTGGGAACTGAAAACACAGGGCTCATTCATGAAACTCGAGGTCCAGAGGAACTAGCTCCACATTAAGTCCCTGAGGTTTAGGGGAAGGGGTTATTTTAAGCAGTAACAACAACAAAGAACCCCTCAAAAGGCAGGCACAGGCCCAAGTTTAGACCCTGCAAACAAGTTTGAATTTTCTTCCCTAGAGAAAGCTGCAGACACAATGAATGATATTTGAGAAATACCTGGCAATAGGATACAGAATGAACTAGAGGAGAAACACATGAAACTCAAAGGCCCATAGGGCACCTGCTGTGACAGTGTCTGAGCAAGAACCACAGGCAGTTGACACCTTCATCAGGCCTCAGTTACCACCTGAGGGTGCAGGAGGGGTACCTGAGGGAATGTAGTGTCAGAAATGGTCCTGCAGTGTGGGCCAAGCTGCAGCTGATAATGCAGAGAGAAAAGGCAGGAGCAGCACCTTGTTGGCCGGGTGGAGCAGGTTTAAATTTGAGAAAAGTTGAATGGGCTGAGTCAAGGTGGTCTATGAAGAGCTGCAGCTGAAAACCTGAAGCTCAAGAAACACAGGGGGAAGTGTCAGTAAATACAGGTGACAGCTGGAGCCACAGTGCTTGCAACTGCCCACTGAGTGCCCCTGAATTTCAACCAGGTGCGTTTCCTCCCATCCTCAACTGTCTTAATTTTTTTTTTTTTTTAATGCTGAGAATTGGACCCTCGACATGCTAAGGATGTGTTCTACCATGAAGCAATACCCTAGCCCTTAACTGTTTTTAAGCTATGCACCACTTATATTCCCACATCCTAAATCATCTTTTCTCCCTATTCAACTTAGTTTTTAAAAATTTTCTGATCCAAAAGGAAAACTCTGTCTTCCAGGATTACTAACTCCAGGGGAGGAAAAAATCCTCAACGCTGTTTTAGTGGTCAGCTGAGCAAAACAGAAAGGCTTAACTGATGAGGGTCACTCCCTGGAAAGAACCAGGTCTTAAGGGGGGGTATCCTGGCGTGCCCCAATGTTTTCACAGGGGAGTGTGTTGGTGCAGGAGGGGAACACCTGAGACCTTGCAGTTCAAGCTCTGCCCACAAACATCAGGTGACCACAGCCAAGTCACTTCTCTAGTTTTCCTATTTTACAGACTGACGTGTACATGGCCTACAAAGGTGTCTACCACTGGTCTTGCTGAGAATTGTCGGCTCTAGCTGGATTTAAGTTAGAGCAAGTTTTAATCGTTTTAAGTGCCATTAGGAAATTCAAGAATGATCTAAACACCTTTGTTCTTTTCTCTGCTTACTCCCAACTGCCTTTTAACTTTGCTCGTAAATATATCAGAGGGCCCTGGTAAAGACTGTGGGCACAGAGGAAAGAGAGAAAGAAAAGGAAGAAGGAAGGAGGGAGGAAAGGAGGAGAGAGAAAATCAAATGACTAAAATGGGATTTGGAGATTGGTGGTAACCTGCCAGTTCGCACACAACCTGGTCAACCAATCAAAAGACAACTAGAACAAAAAGAACACATAGGTTAGCCAGGTGTGGTGGCCCACGTCTGTAATCCCAGCACTAGGGAGGCTGAGGCAGGAGGACTATCGAGAGTTCAAGGCCAGCCCTGGCTACATAGTGAGTTCACGGCCAGTCTGAACTACACTTGGCCAGACTCTGTCTCAAAAAAAAAAAAAAAAAAAAAACCCCACATAGGTTTTTTTAAGGTGCAAAGAGGACTCACACTAAAAGCTAAATGCTTATCCCCTGGGAGCAGAGTGACTACAGATGTCAAGGGGACATTCTGTTGCCTGAATTTGCAGACACATATTCTTGTGATTTAAATTTAAAATGAAATACTTTTAACCTTAAAAATCGGGCTATCTTTCTACCTCACTCTTTTTGGAGCCATGCCTCCCAACTTTGGCTAGGAACACAGCTACCTGACGTCTCAACAGCCGGGCAGCAAGAGCGAGTATTACCAATTACTACCAAATAACTCAGAATTGGGGGGAAGGGGGCGGGTCAAATCTTGAATTAGAGGAATTACAAACTATCAAGTGACTTTTAAAAAAATCTAGCCATAACTTCTCTTCCTCATTTGAAAAGGGACTTTCTAGACACATCCTGAGCTTCGGTTCAAAATGTACTTTGTGAACGAAGGGTATTGTTCTCCTAGAAGGGACCCATTTTCTCGTGAAAGCGACTTGTTTCCAAGAGCCTGTCTCTGGGCGGCCGCGGAGCGCATTCGCGGGGTTCGGCCTGGATACCTCCGAAGCTGGAGGAGCACGGCTTTGGCGGGCCCTGGTCCCCCACCGGGCCCGACCCGCCGCCCGTCGCGCGGCTTGGCCACTGACCTGATGACACTAATGTGGAACTGGTCCTCGGGAAGGCCCCTCCAGGCGCCAGGCAGGAACTCCTTGCACCACAGATAGGCCTTGCGCCGCGTCCGGGGCTCGGGCTGCTCATCCGCCCCCGGCGAGGGTAGGGGCAGTGGCAAAGGCGGCGGGGGCAGAGCGAGCGGCGGCTGCCTGCCTCCCAGCTGCTTTGGGTCCAGTTCGCTGGCGGCGTCGCGCTGCTGTCCCACGCCGGGCGCCGGGGCCGCGCTCCCGCCGCTACAGCTCAGCAGCAGCCCGAGCGGCGAGGGCTCCGCCTCACCCCCGGTACAGAACTTGGTCTTCATGCCCGACAGGCAGCCGAAGAGGCGCGGGCGGCCGCAGCGCGAGAGAGTCAGGCTCAGGGTCCGGCCGGGAGCCCGCCTCAGAAGGCCGGGCGGGGGTCGCTGGCACGCTCGCTGACCGACCGGCCGGCCGGCTGGGGGCTGCGCGCGGCGGGCGGCGGTTGGCACGGGGCGCACAGGAGGGGGTACGGGCAACGGCGGGGAGCGGATAGCGGTTAGCGGCTAAGGCTGCCGGCCCAGAGCGCCCGCTCTATAATACAGCGCCGCACGAGGAGCGCGGCGCGTCACAGCCCACCCCCGCGCCCGCCGCTGATTGGCCACGCCCAGCTACCCTGCGCCACACAACCACCGCCCTCCCCACGCCGCCTTCCCATTGGCTGCGGTCCTCCTCCTTGCCCCGGGCGCTGAGGCCGCCGGGGGCGGGGGCGCGGAGGGGGCGGGGCGCCGAGGTCGGCGTCCCAAATCGTGGGGGATGCAGTAAAGGAGAGAGGAGTGGGGGCGCTTGAAGCGCTGCGTCGCACGACTCCGGGCTGGGCCGCGCCTGATGAGCGAGGGGCTGCAGCGCTTCAGAGGCCCCCGGGGTGGGTGGGCTTTGGGGGAGAAACTTTCCTCGGACTCATCGGAAAGCCCAGGACTTGAGAAGCCAGGGAAAGGGCAGGCAGGAAATTGGTGTCTGGAAGCTGCTTTTTCCGCGTGACCTTGGGGCAAGGCACTTCGGTGTGGGTCTCCCCGGTTGTGATTTTATGACCTTTCACAGCACCGGCTCCACGTACACACCCAGTCCACCTCAGGGCCAGAAGCATTACTATTCCAGGTTCAGAAGCCAAGGCCTGAAAAGGAAAGAAGTGACTAGTTCAAGGCCTCACAGCCGGCCTGCACACTTGCTGCACTGTCGGCTGCCAGCCATGCCCTCTGCACGGCGACCGCCTCAGTTTCCCTGTCCGTGGTCCTGAGGATTCCGGGGCCCAAAGGTACAGGCAGGAGACACGGATGCGTCTGCAGCAAGGCCACCGCAGCCACCAGGGACGCTGGCCAAAGGTGCCTGCCGTGGGGCTGCTGGCTTTGTGGACGCTGTCACCTGCCCCTCTGCGGGAGACATCGCGTGACCATGACTAATGCACCTTTGCCCCGGGTGTGAAGAAGTGGACCACGGGTCCCTGATCCCATCTACCTACACACTGCCCCCTGTCCCTCTCTCTGGCCCCACAGCCTCAATCCTTTCTAGAAGTAAGTAGTTTACAGATAATATAAACGCTACAGATCCAAGGTTATGGGACGAGCTGGAACAAGAGGTCTGCGTGGCTGCCAAGGATTGAGGAAATCCAGCAATCAGCTCACAGGAAATGGCTTCTTTGCTGGGATTTCAGTGTGCCTGAAACAAAAATCTTTTCCGAAACAGCGTGTACTCCTCTGAACCTGCTTCAAGATAAATGACCGTACTAACCAAAAGGACACAAAGAGGACTTTCAACAAAGCTGCTGGGGAAATAGACCTATGTTGTTTGAAAGGAGGCAGAGAGGAGAGGCCCAGGCCTCAACAGAGGTGGGAGTCCACTGGATGTTTGAAAGGCTGAGAAATCCAGGTTTCCAGTTAGGATGGCATTTACATAAAGGGATCAACGACTTTGTCTAAAAATACCAGCTCATTCTGTGGGGGAAGGGGAGCTGTATGCATGGCCTGCTCAGGTGCCATAGCCCTTTGTCCCCCACCAGTGTGATAATCACAGAAGAATGTTGGAAAAAGCCAAAGGAAGAAGCATTAAAAGAGGTGACCTCTATAATTTGAAGCAACTCTTTCTGGCATGTGCGGTTTGGCTGTGAAAACCCAGGGCGTCTCTGGGATTGCAGCTCCCTGTGGGGAGTAAGATGCTGCCTCGGTTAAGGGTTGAAAAAGCTCCTGAGGCCCAGGAGGTTGAAAGAAAAGTGGATGTGGGGGTATGAGGTTGGAGTGGGTGGAGACAGGACACTGTACACAATGTGATGTGCTCCAGCTTTGATTTCCTTTCTCAGGAACTTGAGTTCTGCATGCCAATTTAAGGGAATTCAATGTCCACTCGTCTGTCAGTATCTGAGCTATAAAATAGCATGGTATTGGCATAGAACCTACCACATGTTCCCATAGACGTTAAAGCATCTCTGGATGCCTTGTCATACCTAATACAATGTAAATGCTATGTCGACAGTTGTTATACTGTATTGTTCAGGGAATAATGACAAGGGGGAATATCTACATCTTCAGACAGGTGCAAAGGTTTTGAACCAGGGCCTTCAAACTGAGCTATATCCCTAGTCCTTTTTTATTTTTTATTTTGAGACAGGGTCCTGCTAAGTCACTAAGCTATCCAGGCTGGATTCAAATTCGAGATCTTCCTGCCTCAGCCTCTCAGAGTGTTGGAATTACAGGCGTGTGCCACCATGTCAAGCCCTGGAATATTTTTGACCCCAAGTTGGTTGAATCCACAGATGTGGAACCCGTGGACACAGAGAGTTGACTTTAATTTGTTTTAGAGCATGACCATTGCTCTGGCCTTCAAAGAGCTAAAACTGGGGGGGCGGGGGTCCCACCTCTGCTTCACCTTTTCCTTCCACTATCACCGCTCTCCTCCCCACTTTTCAGACAAGGGCTGTGGGGCATTTGAAGGAACACCAGGTTGCCTGGAAGGAAGTGATTTGTTTCATTCCAATGGTATGAGTCCTCAGAGAAGGCTGAGACCTCACAAGAAGCAGACTGAATGTTAAGGATGTTGTTCATGTCGCATGTCATGTGTCTGGGAAAAGCTTGCCTTAATTCACCAAACCATTCTCTCCCAAAAGGCTTCTCCTGGCCCTGGGCCCACCGTGGAGCCTCCATGAAGGAAGATTCTGCTCAGAGGATATTGTCCAAAGTTCCTTCCCTTATCAGTAATGTCACAAACCTCAGCAGAAACCCCACAATACCTCTGGAGCTCAGCTCTCTTATCTCCATTTAACACATCAGGAAACTGAGGCTCTGTGCAGTTAATAATTTACCCCAGACCATACACTAATAAATGACAGAGCCTGGGGCTGGACCAAGACAACTTGGCTGCGGGGTTTGCTTCTGTACCACCTCAAGTAGCTTCTATCATGTGACTCAGGCACTCAGGGTTTCCCAATTCACTCTCCTTAGAGGATATGACAGGGCCAGCTCCACTTTGAATGCCCTGTCTTGGGGTCTCCCCAGCCCAGGAATTGGTGTCCCTGAGTCAGGTGCCCAGGCCTGGATCAACCAGTTATAACTACATAGCTGGTGCCAGACATGAGTATCTGAACACAAGGAGCTGGAGACAAGGAATACCTTCCAGAGGGTAGTTACGGTGGGTGTTCTGAAGTTAGGGGCAGCTCCTGTTAAGTGTCACACAAAAGTCCTTGGTTTGAAGAAGGCCCCGTGTGATTCAAGTCCTTTATTCATTTCACAAACATACCTGAGTCACAGGTCCTTACCTCCAAAACTCACATTCCTCAGTGGGGGAGAGAAGGGCTCTAGAGTGTGGCAGCCTCTACCTGCCTCTACCACTTCCTGGTGTCTGCTTTCAGGCAGGCCTCTTACCACCCCAACCACCCCAGTTTGGTGATGGGGATGGAACTCAGGGCCTCCTATACACTTGACAAGTACTCCACCACATAGCTACATCCCCAGCTCTCCACTTACCTTCCCTGAGCTTTGGTTTCCTTATCTGTTAAATGACTATAATAGACCACCCTCTTGGTAAGGTTGAGGGGATATGAGAATTAATGAGATAAAACATAATAAATATACATGCTGCACTCAATGGCAATCCCAGGACTCTAGGAGGCTGGATAGGAGGATCACAAGCTCATTCAACCCCTCCTTGGGCAACTTAACAAGACCCTGTGTCAAAATAAAAGATTAAAAAAAAGAAATAGGGATATATCTCAGTGCAAAGGCCCTGAGTTTGATTCCCAGTCTCACACATACACACACACACACACACACACACACATACACACACACGTGCATACACCCCTATCCCAATGGAGAAACCCACAGCTATAAATATGCTCAAAATCTTTGAGCGTGGGCCAGGGGATTTAGCTCAGTGGTGTCACCACCTCCCTCGAAAGTGCAAGGTCCTAAGTTCAATCCCTAGCACCAAAAAAAAAATAAATAAATTCAAAAACCTTGAGCTAGCAACCTCCTTCCCAACATTCTTCTAACAAGTTAGTCAAGCAAAGAGCTCTATGCATAAAATTGCCCTCTGTCACATTATCTCTAATTGGAGAAAACTGGAAATAACCTAAATGTCCAGCACCTGAGAGGCCTGGATCAATAAAGGACTCTGACTCTACATGTTGCTATAGCAGAGAGAAGTTAAACTTGACCAGGTTGAGGTTGGTTGGCAGGAACAAGAACAGCATTCATTTCCCACACATTTCTGAAAGGTCTTCCATGGACCTGCTGTAGGGCTTGGCAGCACAGATGTGGGGGGGAGTGGATCGGCCTGTGTCCAACTCTATCTAGGCTGGCAAACTGCCCACTGCCATCCTTTCCCTCGCTCCTCATCCATTTGTTTGTCTGTCTCCCTACCAGACTGGTGTCTCCACAAGAGTAGGGACCATGCCTATCTTCTTCTCTACCATGGTGCCCAGCACAGGCCCAGATGTTTGTAGACATTCAAAAATATTTTGGAATGAATGAATTAGTGAAGTCCTGGCTTGACATTTACTAACATATGACTTCAGCCTGAGCCTCGCTTTCCTCAGCTGTGAAATGGAGAAGACTATAATACCCAGTGCATAGAGTAGTCATGAGGATTGAATGAAGGATGTATGCCAAGCATGTCTGCAGGAGGCAGGAAGCACTTGTATCGTCAAATGAGTTGTGTTGCATGGCATAGCCACTCCCTGTGGCTAGTGTTCACACATGCATAATGCACACTTGTAGAAATAGCTTGGGAAGAGAAGGTCATGTAAGAAAAGAAGTCAACCTGCAGTGTGCACTGTGACCACCAGACCATCAATATCTGTGCACCAGAGAGCTTGGAGAGAAGCTTGCTGCAGCAGGCACTGGTCCTGGGGAGGGACAAAAGACAAATATTTCAAAAACTCTGTAAATGACATTGAATTCTGACAGTAGACTGAGAGTAGGTGGAGGACCTCAGGCGAGGTGGAGAGAAGATAGAGAATCACTGGCCAACCTCTCACATTCTGGCTGACTGAGCAGCCAGACAGGAGAGTTCCAGGGCAACTGGGAAGACTAAAGACCTGCAAAACACAAAAGCAGCCGGTCCTGCCACCATGGCCCAGCCCTGCCACCACCTC